CCGTGTTTTCTTACCCAACGCGTATCCACAATGCCAACGGGAAGCCAGGTAGGCAAACTACTCCCCACTGGCGAGTTGAGCATTTGTGGGCTTCGTATAGCATATTGCAAGCCAAAATTATTGGTTTTAAACTTAGTGGTGTCTCCGCCAGATTAACGCCGCGCTGGATGTAACATGGTGTGGTGTTCGGCATCTTGATTGGCTGGACGAACGAATACCAAATGCTGAGTCCCCGAGAAGCAATTCGCTTTGCGACACCGAATGTACCAGACGTACTCAGAGCATATTGGAGATTTACGGCGGCCAGTGTTATTAACGGTTCCGTGCTGGGTGTGACCCGAGATATGGCGCTACGCCAGGCAATGGGATGGGGCATGGAGGGAAACACATGGCAGACTTATTCTAAGAATGCGGTCCTACCCAATAACGCGCGTTGAGCGGAATCGATTTTAGTGTTGGATACCTGACTGGTGGCGTACGCTCTCTTTTGGGTGCTGTGTGGCAAAGCAGCTGTGTTGAGACCAGGCTCATCAATGAGTAGTCAGAAGATAACTTCACAGCTGCATGACGTGATGTAGGGTAACTTAGTGCCCTCAGCAGTAAAGCATGCGATGGGAACCTTCGCTTTTTTCAGGAGGTCGCTTGAAGTATGAGAATGTATGTGGCTGCTATCTTTGTTTCCCAATTGTTCAGGGAGGCAAGAAGAAGCCTTTGAAGGCCCCCAAAAAGGACTCGATTGAGNTCTTTGTTTCCCAATTGTTCAGGGAGGCAAGAAGAAGCCTTTGAAGGCCCCCAAAAAGGACTCGATTGAGTTTGAAGAAGATAAGGACTTCAAGCAGAAGCAAGCCCAAATGAAACGGTGCGTCGAGCCTTCAGCGAATTCGTCATGCATTCATCGCCTGTAGATCCGTCTTTTTACGTAGATTTGATTGCGTTGCAATGTGCGCTGTATGTCTCAGTGAGGAAGAAGCTGCTAGGAAGGCTTTGCTGGCTAAGGCGGCGGCTAAGAAGAAGTGAAGGCCAGCGGCGTCTCTGCGGCCATGTTTACATATGCATTTTTCAACTGGCTTTTGAGTTCTGAAAACTTTCAGGCTCTATTGCCGTTCTTTTGATGAACTTGTCTAGCCCAGCTGGGACGCCTTTGAATTCAGTCCACAGCTGGTCGAACCCCCGAAGCAATATATAATATATATGACCCCCTGAAGCAATATATAATATATATGAACGCATACGAGCTCTACACAGGAACCAGCATATATGTGAACGTGCACGAGCTACTGATGTCAGTTGGTAGTTAAGCAGAAATAGTTAAACACCCATCTCAATATATTTAGTGAGCAGACTACTTCGAGCGGTATGATGACTGCAGCACTTTATATTAACGATTCCACCAACTTATCGTTAGGATCCTCAGGTATGCACGTTGCACATATTATTATTACTGTTCAAGTTCCGAGCTCGTAGAGTCATCGTGAGACTGGTGTTTAGAGTTGGTTGTGAGCTGACGGCGACCCCATGCAGCGACCAGCAGTGGTCTGTGCCTTCTGCATTTTCCAGTACACAAATATTTGCAAGTAATGTTTGGTAGGCTACGTTCATCTACCACACCATGCGCTTTATGAAGCAAATAAGATACTGTAGANGTTTTGAATCGCTACGCAACTGCCGGCTACGTTCAACTCGTTCAACTCTACAGATACTACAATTGCAGCTCTTTCTCTCTATATATACTATATTTATATTTATATATATTTATGCCTACTGAGTATATATACAAGATACTGGTTCCACATAGTAAATGACAGCAACTGAATTTCCAGTCGAATATTCGCTTAGGTTGTAAATTGGGGCCGCACCGGCCAACTCGAGCAGAACGGCTCGAGTGAAATATAAATTAAGCGGAATGATATTTGTCTCGCTTATGCGTAATAATATCACGACGAGACGAGACAGCGTATCTGCATGCAGTATTATATAAATATATACTATTGCTTTATATACATACAGTATAATATAGTGGTGTGTTGTTCGGTGCAATAATTTTATATTTATATAATACGGCGAAATGTTTTCGAGAAATGTCATGGAGTGCGGGATGA